TTTTTTTGTAAATTTTCATGAAAGATTGGATTTTTTTGAAAGAAATTTTACATGGGTCTTGAAATTTTGTTGATCTGACGAAACCTAACCCTAATTTGTGGTTTGGGGAGAAAAGGGTTTTTTGGATGATCAATTTGTGCAGCTGCAAAAACTCCAAGATGAGGACAACCCAAGCTTCGTAGTTGAAGTGATTTCGCTTTTCTTTGAGGATTCGGAGAAGCTTATAAATAATTTAGGAGTTGCTCTGTGAGTTTCATTGTTTATCTTGAAATTGTTTCTAATCTGTCTGTCTTACTTTGAGGTTCATAAGCTTTCGTTTTTACTAATTTTGTTTTGTGTTGTTTAAATTACGTAGTCAGCAGCCGGTTGTCGATTTTAAGCAGGTTGATGCTCATGTTCACCAGTTCAAAGGTAGCAGTTCAAGGTATAGTTTCCTATCTTAAATCATTTTATTTTATGTAGTTTTTATGGGAGAATGCTACCATCCCGTAACGGGATGGTTCCGTTGAATTTTTTGAAGCGTATATTGTCTGCATATTATTAGATTACATGTATATCTACGGCTACAAAAGACAACGGAACCATCCCGTTGGATGATAGCATTCTCTAGTTTTTATGTCTAAGGAAAAAAAGGATTCAAGCAAATATTTGATGCAGTCTACTTTTTGATCAATTAATTTTGCTTACTTTGATGATGTTCTTTGTTCTTCGAATTAGCTCATTTGAAAAAATGCATATAAATGTGGTAGATTCAGATCTGGCCATGGTTGCAGAAAAAAAATACTGGGTTTTTCTTTCGTTTGCAGTTTTTCGTTTTACACGACATGTCTTTTATTCTTCTCTGTCTTCCAAATGCCAGCATTGGTGCACAAAGAGTGAAGAATACTTGTGTTGTTTTCAGAAACTTTTGTGAGGAGAAAAGCCTCGATGGGTGAGTTCCATTTTGTAATCATTTTCTAAATTATTTTCCTAAACAGTAGTTACTAATCTCATTGATGGATTGTCTATTTTCCTTGTATGTATTAATAAAGGAGGTTAAATGACTACTTGTGTTCTTTTATCCTGTTTGGACATCACGTGGCTAAAGATTTTGTTATGTAGGTGTATGAGGTGTTTGCAGCAAATAAAACAGGAATACTTTCTCGTGAAGAGCAAGCTGGAAACTTTGTTCCGTGTAAGTGTTCTGGTTCGATTATCATGTTTCATGTTTCATGATGTTGGTTAATGGATGACCAATTTTCCATTGCTCGTTAAGCGGAATAAAAAGAAAAAACTCCCCTAGATACAAATGCCCCTTTGGTAATTTTCAATATTGCTAGTAGAATACATTAAGAGAGATACATGTCAAGTAAGATGCAATTCTCAATGGTGTGTTTGCAATTTCAAAATATATCTGGGTTTCTCAAAGAATAAACTAAATCTTAATTTTTATAGATAGCCATACTTTTATGGATGTAATTACTCTTTACATTGTTTACCTTGCACTATAAATATATTTTTTTTTTTCAATTTCTAAAGATCTACTTGGTTGAATGTAGCTCGAGCGGCAAATTTTGGAAGCCGGCGGGAGAGTTCCTACAATAGCATAAGAGAGCTATTACTCAAATTGTGATTGAAGATTTGAAGGGGATCTTTACATTATTGTTGTTATCGTTGAACCTAGCTGGTTGGAGTTCTAGTTTCTCATTCCACAGGTGGATTTAACCTCACGACATGTCTGAGTCGAGCGTGTGCGCGAAATTTTTTACTTTCCTGTTACCTAACGCTGTGCTTTCTTTTTCGGCATTTGTAGTTGGTGTAGATTCTTGTTCCCCCTATTTTTATCTTCGTTGTGATCTTTAGCTGTAACGCATGTTTTGTTCCCCTTTGTATTTCGAGCAAGTGTGATGGTTAAGCTGATTATGTGTTTTTCGTGTTTGTTGGAAGGTCAATTTCTCGTCTTCAAGGAGTTAAAATTAAGGGATAGTTGCAAATCAAGATCAACTTCTGTCATGTTTGCTATGTATTAGAAAAAACTAAGGTATTTTTGCAAATTTAGCAAAGTTGTTAAGCAACTTTAGCATCCCATTGAGGTGTTGTTAGCAAAACATGCACATACTTTGAGGGGCTATTTGTTGTTTCATATGATAAGTGATTCTTTTTTGTAATTAAGCTAAAAATTATTTAATTAGGTCTTTGTAAATTACATCTTAAATTCATGTGATGAAATTGGATCTTGAGAAAAGCCCCTTCTTTTATGCTTCCCTTTATTTTCTTTAACAATATAGGAAATCATGTGACTAGGGCTGCAAACGAGTCGAGCATTGGCCTTATCGAGCAGGATTGACTTTTTTTTTTTAGCTGCTCGAGCTCGACTCGATAAAAAATTACAATAGCTCGAGCTCGGCTTGAACTCGATTCGAAATCAAAATGTTTGAGCTCGGCTCGAAAATTTTTAAGTGGAAATGTAAAATTACCATTAAGGACCTGTGCTAACATATATATAAGGGGTATTTTAGTAATTTAACATGTATCTCGAGCCACTCGACAAGGCAAAATATGGGCTCGAGTTCGTGCTCGAGTCGCTCGAGCTCGAGTCAAGCTTTGACTCGAGCGCTCGCGAGCGGCTCGGTTCGTTTGCAGCCCTACATGTGACTGACTGCAGAATGTAATGTTTGTAAACCAAATCTGTAATTTTGACTTGTTGAGTGGTCCTCTCTTTACCTATCAAATATTTGGTAGGGTTAGCAAATCCAAATTCGAATCTCTTTACTACACCATTATTATAAGATCTTCTTATCTTTATATTTCAGATATCTCAAATCCTGGTCATGTTCATTCACATTTCACTCCATTATTTATATGAATAAAGCTAAGGTTTTGGTCAATGGAATATTTTCTTTATCAGCATAGATTTCAAATTTTCTAGCAAAAAAACAAAACAAAAAGGGTTATTATTTTAGGGAAAATTACGCACATGGAACTCTGTATATGAATATTTACATATATATAACCGTTGCAAAATATTAATCAAAAAAAGGATGAAAAAGTGAATTTTATTTCATTTCTACGAGATTTTGATTTCTCTCACCATCCGTTTATCTCTCTCTCTCTCTATATATTAATCATGGCATTAAGATAAATTCACGCATGAAAAACGGTTGCTTTTCTCTCCAAATTTGTTTCTCTCTCCAATTGTTTTTCTTTCCAATAAGTCTATTTCTCTCACAAAAATAAAAACTATGCCATTAATAAAAATCATGCCATTAATGATAGCTACAAATTCGTTTCTCTCTCCAAAATTCGTTGCTTCTATTTCCAAGAAATCTATTTCTCTCGCCAAAATAACAATCATGCCATTAATATGCCCGCCAAATTATGAGTTAGTGAAATTGATCGTGAAAATATGTTCAGATATATTGTATATTACTATATATACAGAAGATAAACAACATATAAACAACAACATGTAAATGAACCGTATAGTTATACGTAATATAAACAGTATATAAACAACACGAAACGAGATAGAACATAATACACAATTCTAAATGACTGCAAAATCTCCTTTGATATCATAGATTGGAAAGCAAAAAAAATTCAGATAAAATTGTTCTTTGTGAAATCTCCTTCAATAAAAATAAAAAATAAAAAAATCAGATATACTATACATATACTGCCTAATAACCATAAAATATGTGTTTAGATATACTGTATATATACATCAAATAAACACGATCTGACAGTTCTTTAATATTAACTGTATAATTATACATAAGATAAACAACATATAAACAATTCTGAAACGGTGAAAACATAATACACCTTGGCATTAAAAAAATGAGATTCTAAACAATCGAGATTTGACTTGGCTCGGGGCTTTATGGATATTTAAAGCGACCAACATCCGCTTGCGATCCAGCCACACCAGCACGGCGATGCGGCCAGCCCCAAAAACATTCCAGTCGCGTGCGCCGTCCAACACCAAAAAATCCGGCCACACCAGCACTGTCTTTGGCCCCTCACTTTCAGCCTCCCCATTTAATTCCCTCCTTTCGACGCTGACCTTCGACGGGAACTCCTGAAATCATTGCCTCCTTAATTTGGTAAGATTCATGCTATTTCTCTTGAAATTGAAATTAATTGTGAGAGAGAGAGGGTTGCGATAAAGTTCAAGAGAGAAAAAAATTCAAAAGAGAGAAAGAGGGATTAAATCTCAAGAGAGAGAAAGTGGAAGAGAGAGAATAGGGTTGCGTTGGGATATTAAATGGGCGTTACTATTTACCGCCCCCTTATTACTAGTCACCGCCCCCTTTGGACGATTTTGCCCTTTTCATTTGTCGTCTCCGCAAGATGTCGAGTAGCTCAGAGGTAAAAAAAAAAAAAAATCGTCCGGTCAGCTTTACCGCACGGGCATGGCGGTGTCCGACCGACCGGACCGGACAGCCTCAAAGGCGTCCGGCCGGTTCGACCGGACCTTCCTCTGGCCGTGCGGTAAAGCTGGCCGTACGGATCGGTCATTGTACTAACCGACCGGCCGTACGATCCAATTGGTGTCCGGCCACGACGGCCGGTTGTTACCTAGTCCGGCCGGTCGGACCGGCCGGACATCATTTTTTCTATTTTTTTTATTATTTTTATTATTTTTAAATGCTTTAAAATTATTAAATACATTGCAGGTATCTTTAGAAGATTTTGGAGGAGATGGTGTTGATTACCGTTCCGCTTTCAATACAACTACGCTGTTTATTAGTGATGAGGAGGCTATTAAGGATGCAAAAAGTACGGCAATTCTGAATGGTTTTTTTTTTTACTATTTCGAAACACAAAAAACCCGGAAGGCTGAAGATCTTGAAGTGCGATCGAGGCGAACGTTATAGAGGCAAATACGTAGATATGAATAAAGCTGTTTCTAGACTTTCAAAAACGAAAGCGTGCCAGTGCCCTTTTGAGATACAAGTAAAGCGTGTTGCCAGATCGACATACTGGATGATCCACACGAGTCAAGATGAAATGAAGGGATACCATAATCATTCATTTGTTGTGTATCCTGAGGGCCATCGACAGTCGAGCGGCATAAGCCAGTCATCCAAAAAAAATATTCGTGATATGACTGCTGCGCATGTGACACCAGCAAATATTTTGGCCGCCGTCCAGGAAAAAAATCCACACGACCATGCTAATCGGCGACATATATATAACTATAGAGACTGGTTGCGTAAGGAAAGTTTTGAGGGTAGGGACGTTCCTACCCAACTTCTACATTTGGCTAGCAGCAACAAGTATATAGTTTATACAAATATCGATTCGAATACAAATACGCTGACACACATATTCATGGCCCATCCTGATTCAGTGAGTCTATTCCAGACATTTTATTGGTATGTCGGCATAGATTCGACGTACAAAACCAACAGGTATTTTAAATTTACAGAGATGTTATTAGTATTAATTTAAATTTGTATTTTGAATTAAATTTTATGTGATTATAATTTTTTTCTTTTGGTCTCATTTTCACAGGTACAAGATGTCATTGGTCGAGATGATTGGCATGACGCCGTGCAACAATAACTTTCTAATTGCGTATGCCCTCATGAAGGACAAGAAAGAGGCCAGTTATGATTGGGTTCTCGACAAGTTGAGACTTCTCATAGGCTATACGGTAAGGATTTATATGAAGTACATGATTAATAATTAGTATATAAAAGTACTTTATAAAATATGATAAAAAATTTGAGTTTTTTTGGCGTGTCTCACTAATTTTTGTCGCTGCTCAGGTGCATCCTAATGCGGTTGTTAGTGACAGAGAGTTGAGCTTATTGACTCCTATTAGGAGGCATTTTCCCCAGTCTGCCCACTTACTCTGCACGTGGCACATCAACAAGGATGTGGAAAACAAAGTGTACAACCTGTTTGGGAAAAATAAAAAATTATCTGAGAGGTTCTTGCGCGGTCGGTGGAAGTCGGTTATGGATGTCAGTACGCCGGATGTGTACGACACTGCCGTAGCTCAATTGAATGCAAAATACGGGAATGACTCAAAAGTGGTTCAATATCTCGAGCAGACGTGGCTAGGCCACAAGGAGAAGTTTGTGAAAGCCTGGACGAACCAAGTAACACATTTTGGCAACACAACTACCTGTAGGGTTGAAAGTGTCCACTCTGTGTTGAAGAATTGGCTTCACACGTCGACTGGCGCGCTAGATACAGTGTGGCATAAGATTGATAAGGAGATCGAGTCTCAATTGACTGAAATCAGGTACATTCCTCAAATATATTATATATAAGTAGAATATATTATATTATAATTTGTTATATTATATTACATAAGTATATTATATTATAATTTGTTATATTAAATTATATAAGTATATTATATTATATAAGTATTTTATATTATATAAGTATAGTATATTATATTATAATTTGTTATATATATTATTTTATATAAGTATATTATATTATACTTGTATATTATTATATAAGTATAGTATATTATATTATATAAGTATATTATATTATAATTTGTTATATATAACAAATTGTTTTGTAATATATTAACAGGACAGCACTTGAGTCTTCGAGACTTAGGAAGAGTACGACATATACG